TGAAGAATTGTGCCACTCTAGGGCTAGGGATGTAGCTCAGTAGTAGAGCGCTTGCCTAGCATATGTTAAGTCCTGAGTTCAATCCCCAGTGCCATCAAAAGAAAGAAAGAAAGAAAGAATTGTACCACTCTGAGAACTCTGTATATTATTGAGCAACACCTTTTTGGTAAACACTTATTGAAAGTGTCCTCTGTATGTGTGTGGGGGGGGTGGTGTAGTTTTCCTTTTTAGTAAATGTCATCAGTGCCAGTTCGCCCTCTGCAGTCAAGACACTCTCCAACTCTCCAATCACACTTCCCGCTGCATCACCTTGAGCAAGTTCCTTAACTTATTTGAAGGTCAGTTTCCTGTTCTATGAGATAAATAACCTACATCATCATGTTGTTCTGCAATTTCAATTAGATAATTCACAGAAAACATTTTGTACAGCTCTTGGCCAATAGCAAACCCTCAAGTGGTTTGAAGGTATTATAAACACAGTGGAACCATTAGTGCCTGCTCTTTTTTTTTCAGGGCCCTGAGAACTCCTCCCCGGTGTAACCAGGCAGCCCTATTCAACCACACCAGTGTGGTTTGCTTTTTGTCCATCTTTACTCAGTGTCTGGGTAGGCTTCCTGGAGGAGGTGTTTATTAAAAGAAAGAATAAAGGATTTAACTAGGATCCCAAAAATGAGGGTCAGGATCCCAAAAATGAGGGTCAAAACTTCTTGAAAAGTCTGAAAAGAAATACATATATGAACAAGTTATCAAACACTAAAAAAACAAATTTATGTTGAGAGAGTGGTTCTTTACTGTGGTCTGTGGGCCAGGACTGACCTCTGAAGATTTGATATCTATCTGTTGGAGAAGAACAGACACTGAGAATAAGTTTTGGAAAGAAAAAAAAAAAAACCTTATATAGCAATTTGGAAGTAATTTTATGTTGTTTTTCATGATTATAAAACTTATGGACATTTTAAAAATTATTTAGAATAAAAGAGATTGGACTAAAGCTGAACTAATTCCAAATCTTGCCCTGACAGAGGAGCAGCTATGGTCTTCCCCCTACCCCCCACCCCCATATCCTTTACCGTTTTCTCCTGAAAAAATAAAATAAAAACTCACCAAAAGAATAGAGATGATGGTCTTGGGAATTAAGGGAATCGTTTTATTTTTAATGAGTTCTCATTTTTGCCTATAAAGATGTTTTCAACCTGTTAGCTAGGCCTTGTGTGTAGCTACATTTTAATGGACACAAGAGAACCAGAAGAAATGTCTTTGGTACTAGACTTTCTTTTCTAGGCTGGCAGGGGCAAAGGGGAGTCAGGTCGGTAGCCTCCTTTGCTAGCTGTTTTACAGAAGATCTGGCAGACAGAAGCACCCTGGATGGTCCCATTTAGTCACTGGCTCAGATCCTGCCCTGCTGCTGGCCTGGCCCTGAAGATCCCCGGGTGCTGCCATCAGGCTGCTGCAGCTGTGCACGTGCCCCCCATTTGGGGAAGTGAGGCCTGGGAAAGCAGCGGCACTAGAGCACTTTTTTACCCCAGATCAACGGAATTCTGCCCTGAGAGCCTGGCTTCCTCCTCCGCATAGCCTGGTCCTGGCAAGTCCCGTCACAAGCCAGCCTTTCCAAAGAGGAACGCCTGATGGCTGGCTCCAGCACTTCAGCTTCCTCTTTCTTCCTTAGTTCCCCTGCAAGGCTGGCCCTGGGACCCATGATTCTCAGAAGCTCCAAAATCCACCGTGGTGGGAATCTTCAGGACAGGAAAGCAAATCTTGGGCCATGGTTTAAAGCCAGCAGGAGACTTGATTTCAGTGCAAAGTAAGCAATAAAACTACCCAAGAGTCCCATTTGGGGAGGGCGACACAGGGCAGGTGTTTACACAGGATCATAGGCAAGTCACAGAAGAGACTCTAAAACCAGACAAAGGTTGATCAGATGTTCTTAAAGTTCTGTGCCCAAAATTTCATGTTTATGAAGCTTCAGTTGATCATCAGTTATGTAAGACAAAAGTAGGTCTGAGAAATTGTTTCCTCGGTGTTTTAAGTTGGTAAATCTGAAACATTTCAATCATACTAACAAATAAAGCAAATAATATGCTAGATCTCTTTAAGTTTATCATTAAAATTAAACAGATTTTGCCAAACTGTTTTCAGATCTCCACTCCCCCGCAAAGAAATTAAAATGTCCAAATAACAGGTAAAGGTCCATTTCTTTAATGCTTACTTTTAACTGATATATAAAAACCTAAAAGTTGTTATATATCAATGAGGTCTACATTATATAACATTTACATAAGTTTAAACATATCTATCTCCTCAAACATTTACCATTTCTTTATGGTAAAAGCATTCAGAATCCTTTCTCCTTGCTTTTTGAAATATTCAATACATTATTGTCATCTATATTCACCTGCTGGGCAACACACCACAACTTCTTGGCCCCTGTCCAGCTTAGTATATGTTGATCAACTTTCCCCATCCCTCTCTAAAACTGCATGTCTTTATCCTTTCCTCCTCCATTCCCAAAGATAGTCACTCATTCTGTATCATTTCCATGTATTTTTAATAAATATGAATATATTAATAAAACTCCTGTTGTTTATATTTTAATATTAGTTATAACAATATAAATGTGCACATGTGTATGCAACACATACATATCCTTTTACAACTTGCTTTTCCATTCAACATTGTTTTGAAAATTTATACATTTATTAAAAAAATTAATCCAGTACATTTATATTAACTTCTGTAGAGTACAGTCTTCAATTCCAGTACCACATTTCATAAACCACAACTGTGGGCTGTGTAATCAACCATCTTTTGTTTGTGCATATTTATTTGTGTGTACATGTATGTATTATGTACAGGGGTATCTCTCTATACACACACACATAAGCACAATCTGTATATCTATAAAATGGTTTCTCTGGGCTTCATATCCAGGGATAGAATTGCTATCTCATAGCAGGAACACATCTTTGACAGACATTGCAAATTGTTCTCCAAAGTGACTGTACCAGTTTGACCCTCCCACCAGAGACTTCCCTTATGTCCACACCTCATCATCCCAGTAGTCATCAAACTTAATTATTTTTTCTAGTCTAGTAGATGTGAGTAGTATTTCATTGTTTTAACTTACATTTCCCTTACCCTTGGGAACCATTTATAGTTTTTGAGGGCAAGGAAAGAGTCTGCACCTTCCCATGCCACACGCACTCAATGGGGGCAGAGGGATGCATGGAGCTGTGACCCAGGATTATGAAAAAGTTCCAAAGACCCCCAGGGATTTTGCTCCTCAGGATCAAGCACCAATTAAAGACAGAACAGAGAGCTGAATTTCAAAAGGAGGCCAAGGAGATGTGACCAAAACCAAGTACAGAATCATGCTATACAGATTCAAAACTCTAAAATCGGAAGGTGAACAAGAGCAAAACACATTGAAATCAATGGGCAAGGGTCCAAATTATATCCAAAAGCAAAAGAGTTGTTTGCAACTGGAAAATAGGGGAGAACAAGGTTGGAGTTGGGGCTTCTGGGCAGAAAGAAAAGGAGAAGATCAAGCGCCAAGATCCCAGAAACTCGAACTGTCACCCCTTGGTCACTGCACTGGGGGCCCTGAGTGCCTTCCTTAACTCTGCATATGTCCTTCCAGACAGACTCCTCATGTCAACAGGCCAGAAAACATGAACCAAACCTGGGTCTGAGAATTTGGGGTTTTTCTTTTCTTAGATAAAATGACAAGCAACGCTATGTTAGAAAAGTGACTTATTTTTGGCAAATTATTTCTCCTTCTGGTGGCTTCTTTTCAAAACATGTTTTGGAAACATTGAACAGTTCTTCCCATAGAACTGCTTCTCGGGGAAGTTAAACAAACCCAGATTGATGGAGTGACTTCAAGACATGTACACTAAAATATGCCTCCCATATTAAAGACACTGGAGCTTTCTGGGAATAACTCATTTCCTTGGAGGGCCCTAGAGGGTGTGGGAATCCCATATATCCCATGCCTTTTTACCAGGCAAAACTCTGAGAAGTAAAGGCGTCTATCAATGTGTGTGACAGATAAGGCTCTTCTTAATGGGGACAGGAAACCACTCTAACCTCAATGGGTCCACAGTTTCACAGCCAACTTTCCCTTTGGCTCACTTTGCTTCAATTATGGCCAATGCTAAGGACAACAACCAAAGGAGTCTTTAGAGACACAAACCTAGAAGTATGTCATTGCTACACAATAGCATCTTGAGAGGCTACAAATCCAGGACCCTAGGATCTCATTTTCCTTATTTGACACTATGCAAGTATAAAATGAAGTGAAGCCCTCAGCTCAAAATGCATGGGATTTAATAAAACCTTAGAAATATGAATGTGAAGTATCTGGAATTATTTTGCAAACCCAAGCTGTGACAAAGATCAATTCTCATTATCCTGACCTTTTAAGATTAAATATGACTAAGATAAACTATATTTTCAATGATTCTTGAATGGCAAGGCCATGCTTGACACTATTGGCCATTTCTGATTTTTCACGGCACTTTGGTATTTATCATAAAATATACTATTTTTAAAGGAAATTTTAAAGCCCATTTATTCATGCATTTGCACGTACACACACACAAATGCACCAAATGACATTGTGTTTAAAGAACATTAGGCATGCTCACTGGAATATCCAAATGCCACAAAACCATTCCAGTCAAGACTCCTGGTTGAGCACCTGCTATTAGAAAAGGTTAAGTATATCAGAGTCCTTAAATGTGCAGCTCACAAATGATCACAGATGGTCCAATGAATGGACGGCTGTTGGCCAGGCTGGTTAGGTACCCAAGGACCAGCCACCTGTGGGAAACCATAGCACACCTAGGACTCCACGGACACAGGAAGAATACATTTACTGGAGCTCAGTTATAGTTGGAGACTTGAAGGATGGCTGTCTAGTGGAAACCGTAGCACTAGAGGGACATAGCTACTGCCAGAGACCCAGGGCAGAGAATATCCCAACCTCTCCCTCCTCTCACCTTGGCTCTTCTCCTGATTCTCCCATTTATTAAATGCTTCTGGAAGCCAGCTGGCAAGGGAGCCTCAGTGATCTGGTTCTTGGAGTCAGTCAGCACTGGACAGAGAATAGGGTGGAAAAGAGAGGAGAATGGGTGAGGGGCTGGAGCACACTCAGGATGCCAGACAACAATCTCAGGTGGTTCTCTTTTCACCTCGGTGCTTCCTGTTTTAATCATTGCATCCCTCAGTCACCAGGAACATGTAGCACACTTGAGCACAAATCTTCTCTTGATCTCTTGACCAAGCATCTCACAAATCCTTCTGATCCTGGGTCAGTTTCCACATTTCTTAGGGGAAAGATAGTCCAATTCAGAGTCACTTCACTCAGGAGTCAACCAAAAAGGAGTTTCCTTCATCGTTTGAATAAGGTCATAAAAAAATAACGTGGATGAGGACCCATACCTGCCTCGAGCTACAAATTCCTTGTCTCCATACCAACTTACCACTGGCTTCCAGCAGAAAGAGAAGCTCTCTATTAATTTTCTAGAAAAAGTGGCCTCCGACCATTTTGTTAAGCAAAATAAGCCAAACTCAGAAGGTCAAGATTCTTGTGATTTTTCTCATACGTGGAAGCTAGAGAGGAAAAAGGAAAAGAAAGGTTGGGCAGGGGAATGTCATGAAAAGCAACGGGAGATCAGCAGAACAGAGGAAGGGGACCAGTGGGTTGAGAGGAGGGGAAGAGCTAGGGAGTGACACTGGACAAATTATATTGTTATATTGTATGTATGTACAAATATGTAACAACAAATCCTACCATATGTACAACTATAATGCATCAATAAAATAATGCTGGGGGGAGTGACCTCAGGCAGGCCCCAGGTCAGAGGACACAATTACCAATGATGGGTATAAAGGCTGCACTTAGTCCTGAGCATGGGCCAAGCTATTCAAAAGGCCTTGGGTGTGAGCTGGCTAGTCCCTATTTACAGAGGCATAGGATCAGAGATTAAAAGGAGAGAGGATGGGCTACTGATTTTCCTGCTCCCCTTGCAGTTTGGGCAGTGGCTGCCTCTCCTAGGGCTACAGTTAATCCCCTAGCTTGAGAAAATATTCCCTTTGCTCCCCCCAGGAACTGGGAAATAGCATCCTTCTCCATCCTTTGTTGCTTCCCCAACCCTATTCATACCTCTACAGATTGCCATTTCATCAAAACTCCCCGCCTTGAGTGTGCTATGTGCCTTCCAGTGGGTCACTGGGTGACAGAAGAGATGTGAATTCAGTTAATGATGCTGCAGCCCCTACTGAGAGAGCCACCTTCATAAGTGCACTATTGGAACTGCCACGGGACATAGTGCTCTGTCTTCAACCAAGACACAATTTAACTTCCTTTTCATATACCCACTAGCTGACACAGGGCAAGTGGCCTGTCTGGACCTAAACATCTCAGTGCGTTAAATGGGACTAAATATACCTAATTAACCAATGTTAAATGCCTGTAGAATATGTTCTTAAGTTAATCTAAATTCTCTCTTTTAAAGGAATCTAATATTTTCTCATGGGACCTGGTTCTTACCCTATGGATTCTGAGCCTAAGAATCTTTCTCCTATTTTCCCACACCTTAAGTTGAGCTTAGTATACTCATCCATCTGGAATCTAAGATCCCAAGGGCTTTATTCCTGGACTGTGATGGTAAGGACAATCTTCTTGAGACCTGAGATTCCAGGCAGAGAGTTTTCCCTGTGATGTAATGCTATACACATGCACACACACACACACGCACACACACATATACACACAGGCATACACTCAGGCATATAAACACTCAAGCACACACATGGAAACATGATCCAGGACAAGCTCATTCCCATTTATGACTCATGCATCCATCCAGACAATATTAATTGGTCCCTGGAGAGCATTCTAGGGGATAAAATTGCAGGAATAACAAATGGGGAATCAGAGTGAGAACCCTTTTTAAAAATAATAGTTGTTAAGGGCCCAGGAAGTTGATGCCTCGGTTGGTTGGAATTAATAGGTGTTTCTTCTATGGTAATTTTGGGTTGGTACTCAGTCCTTCATTGGAAATTTAGAAGCATTTGCAGATAGAGTTCAATGGTGAGTATAGGATGGAATGAGTCTGTGATTCCTCTTATAGTGTTTATATCTGAAAGGATGAAGACTACAAAAATTCCAATTTGGAGTTCTCCAATAAACCATTACTAGCCTATATACTTAGGAACAGATTTCAGGCAGTGAAATTTTCTCAAGTTTTCAAACACATCAGAATTGCATGCCCAGAATCTTAATCATATTCCCATTCAATAGTGTCAAGATCAGTCTTGCATTTTTAAGAAGTTCCCCCCACATGATGCTGATGAGTATAAAAGATTGATAATAAATGATTTTTAAGTGACTTGAAGAAGAACTTGTCCCATCCCCTCAGGCCATCTGCCAGATGACTTAGAGAAGGCAGATCCCTCAGTGGTGAATGTACCCATGCAAGTTGTCCCTAGAGGATGATTATGAGGTAGCAGCAGAGATGACCCAAAAGTTATTCCTATCTGACTTTCTAAAGGACTTCTCTTGGATTTATTTCTTGCAAAATGTTCACCGACATGTAACATGGATTTCCCACACACAGAATTTCTGTTGGGCAACTAACAAAGTTGTTGATAAGAGAGGAAAGTAGTGGGGAGACAAGCAAGAAAGCAGACCTCAATTTGGAGCAAGTGGGTGAGGCAGGGAATAAGTTGTGGCAGATGCTCTAGTTGGAAGGCTCTTGCCTGCAGAAATTCACATTCTGCCTTCATAGTGTTGCCATGAATGTTAGTCAGACTTCCATTATTGTCACGAATACCTGAGATAGTAACTTGTAAAGAGAACATTTTTTTTTTTTATTTTGGCTCACAGTTTTGCAGGTTTCAGTCCATGATTCGTCGGCTCTGTTGCTTTTGGGCCTATGGCAGCAAAACATGGCAGGAACATATGGTTGAGCAAAACCACTTATCTCACAGCCAGGAAGTGAAAGGGGTGTTCCCACTATCTTCTCAAAGACACACCCCCAATGACCTAAAAACCTCCTAAAAGGCCACACCTCTTACAGGTTCCATCACCTCCCAACAGCACAGAGTTGGAGTCAGCTTGTACCACATGGACCTTTGGTGGGGGGGTCTCTACCTGTGGTCATGGAGCCCTTGAATTGTGGCTGGTGAATCATGATACGGGTACTAAACACACACCAGATTTTGAAAACATATTATCAAATTTTATACACACACACACACACACACATATATATATATACATAAAATATCTCAATAATTTTTTCTAGTGTTATATTTTTCTAGTGATATTTTAGATATAAAATTAAATAAAATCTCTATTAGTAAAATGCTTTCACCTGTTTGCTTTTTTCAATGTGACTAACTGAAAATTTTAAATTATATATATAGTTCACATTTTTGCCTCCTATTGTATTTCTAGTGGACAGTGCTAACCTATAACAAAAAAAAAAAAAACCTGATTATAGTTGTTAAGGGCCCAGGAAGTTGATGCCTCGGTTGGTTGGAATTAATAGGTGTTTATATTTGACTGGTCTTTTTTACTTAAATATCCCAGGCAATTATAATTATGAAAACCCAAGTTTGATGTACCACTTAAGCATTTATAATACATACTTAAAACAGCTTAGTTCACACCATCTAAATTCAGCTTGTATATCTACTCTAAACCCTTTGACAACAGGAAGAGAGAGCAGTCCACGGTCCTAATATGATCTGAGGCAGTGGCCACCAGTGCTGTCTAGCATGTTCTGTGAGTGGGCCAGGGTTGGGGCAACCTCCAGGCTGTGGGAACAGCACCCACACAAACAAACTCCCACATCCCTAGCAGGCAGGGACAGAGATTGCGAGATTGCAGATTGCGTGACTCTCAGGACAGTGGGAGTGGCCACAGTGGGAGGGTGTCTGGTCATACTCTCTGGGTTTCCATTCTGCTTTATTTCACAAGGCAGACACTTTTCTTAAAGGGCCAGTAGAAAGTGCAGCTTGTGCCTTTGAGTAGGCCATGGGAGTAGGCCATGTCCTTCAATAACCCCTGCCAACGCTGCTCTGACATCAACCACTCCCTTCACCTTTCCACCCTCCAACACTGCTTCTGGGGAGGGGGGTGGGGGCCAATAGCAATTGCCCACAATTCAAAGCTGATCTAAGTCACAGCCTGGCTCTGGCTTCCCCTCCCCAAGCTGCCCACCTGATCTCAGGAGAATTGATATTTGCCCTTTGAGATAACACTCCTTTCTGAGGGGCACCTGCCAGCTCCTTGCCTTGGCCAGAGGTAAGGACCCTTCAGTGAAGAGGAGGAACCAGGACAAGTGCTCTTGTCCTCAACATTTTTATATCTTACCCTAACCCTGCAGGTACCTGATAAACACTGAAGAGCTAGTCTGTGGGTGTCAGAGTCCCACTCTTTCCATCAAGAATGGCTCCTCTGACAAGCAACACTGCCTCCTGAGGAGCCAGCAGCCAGTGCTCATCACAACTGTAAAGTGAAGAAACTATGGCTTTCCTGGAAGAACCTTCTAGAACCTGTGGGCCCTTTAAGCAGGCTGCTGTAGAATGTGGAAGAGAACCTCCTTTGGACATCAGTATATGCCCTGGCCATCATCTGGGAGAGCTTCCTTTTACTCAGTCTTGCTGCTGCTCCCAGCATTGAGATTCCTCAAAGTCCTATACCTGCTCCTGGCCTTCATATTTCACAGCCTTCTCAGGTGGCTCTTTTTAACTAATGTGATTTCAACTTTTCACCCCAGATTTAGATCCCCACAGCCCCATCTGAGATATCCCTTGCCCAACAGCTGGTCTGAGGAGCAGCAATCAGACCAGCTCCTAGCTCTCCCCACAGGACAGGAGTAAGTCTCACAAAGAGCCCAGCTTGTGTCCCTATGAAGAGAACCTGCATCACTGTGGCCCTCCTGTCCCTCCTGAGATCATCTGCAGATCAAAGTGGGAAACAACAGCGTCTGGTAGAGACCTGACTTCCAATCCCAGCCCACCTTTAAATGGGCCTCACCATTAAATGGACCATGGAATGTGAAGAGATGAAATGTGTAACTTAAAATGCTACTGAAATGAAAGAAAAGCAGCAAGGAATCCAAAATGTTTTGTGCCTTACCCCTATAATCATAATAGTGAACAGTCCCTGAGCAATGACAGTGCGTCGGGCTTAGCAGTGTATCACGTCAAGCAGTTTCACTACGACCTGAAGAAATAGAATTAGAGAGATTAAG